TAGATAACAATCTTACTGAATTTACGTTTAGCATTAGCCAGCACTTTTAAATTTGCCAAGATGTCAGGCGCTCTGGCTCCCGGTAAACATTGGACTATGGTGGCTGGTGTCTCTATTTTCACATTCCGTACAATTGAATCACTAATAACTTGAGCACTTTGATCAGGTTTCTCAGTGGGTGTGTCACTGAGTGGGGAGAACCTGTTTGATGTTTTGATCAGAACCGAAGAGCGGTGATTTGACCCGCGACTATGCCGCCTCACAGTCACCTAGTCGCCCTGCGGCGGAGGCTCTGTAACCGGAACCGAACAATGTACAGGACTCCCTGCAAGCGGTGCAAACAACAATAGCAGGAGAAGAAGCCATTACTCACTGTGATTGAAGAATGACTCTGACTTACCACTGTTGTTTGATGAACTTGTGAAAAAACAGAGCGATAGAGAAAATAAATGGAGCGAGAGAGAGAGAAAAAAAAAAAAGAAAACATAAATAGACGTGAATGGAAATGCAAATGACAAGCTAACTGGCTAACGAATGCTAACGCACTGCACGTACGCTGCACTCGCGGTTTTAGAATAAAAGCGAACGATCAAATTAATCAGATTAATTTGATAGATCATTTTAGAATTATGGTGGGAGTTAAGTTATATTTTATCACTTTAAACAACAGAGAGTGATAGTAAGATAGAGATTCAACAGAAAAGCGAAGCTACGCGGAGCTACAATCACAAACCACTCAGCAGCACGGCAGACAGGAAACGGAAGTGTAGACAGTGAGTGATTCCACCAGGAGGGAACAGTAAATGTAAAAGTTTGTGAAAGTGATTTTGTGCCTCTTTGGGATGGCACTATTATGTGCCATTCACCTGCAGAAATCAAGCTTCTAGAGGGCAATGTAAGTCTGAAGTAGTGAATTTAAGTAAAGGTGCGCAGAGCCAGTGGTGGTTTTGTTGGCAAACATTAATGCCTTGAATTTTATACGAGCAGCTATTGGTCGCCAGTGCAAATTGATAAACAGAGGTGTGATGTGCGTTCTTTCCGGCTTGTTAAAGACTGCAGCCGCATACTGGATTAATTGTAGAGGTTTGATAGAACTAGCTGGAAGACCTGCCAAGAGAGCATTGCAATAGTGCAGCCTGGATAGAACAAGAGCTTGAACAAGGAGTTGTGAAGCATGTTCCGAAAGAAAGGGACTGATCTTCTTAACATTGTATAAAGCAAATCTGCAGGACCGGGCACTTTCAGCAATGTGGTCTGAGAAAGTCAGCTGATCATCAATCATAACTCCAAGGTTACTGGCTGTTTTTGAAGGAGTTATCGTTGATGTGCCTAGATGGATGCTGAAATTGTGGTGAAGTGTTGGGTTTGCTGAAACCACAAACAGTTCTGTCTAGGCAAGGTTGAGTTGAAGGTGATGGTCCTTCATCCAGCAAGAAATGTCTGTTAGACAAGCTGAGATGCGAGCAGCTATCGTCGGATCATCAGGATGGAATGAGATGTTAAATTTAAGTTTCTCTTTGGCTAGCACAATTGTGTGTATGAAACACATGTGTGACGGCAAGGAGCTTATGATAAAAGCATGTCATGTGGCTTAGTCTTGGATTGCAATTGATCTAAGACTGTAGTGCTTTAATGATCTCTATGATGTTGCAGTTATATGAGATAATGTAAGAAAAACTTCAAAAGTAACTTTTATAAATATAGTTTATAGTGTAGTTCATAAAGAGGTTTCTATTCTGGCACTCATAGACATGAAGAATCAGCATGTGAATCTCAGCAATGGTGACAAAATATTCTGATAATTTGTATGTGATTTTTGAACATGACAAAACAAAGCAGTAAAAAGGCACAACAAAAATATAAGCAAATACTAAGACAATGCAGCTGCATAATTTATTCATGTCGCAATGCATGCTGGGAGCCATGGATGAGTTATGATTGGTGCACCCAGAATGCAATGCAACATGAAGCCGTCTGATGCTCGTCACCATTGTTGAGATTCATAGCTGATTCTTGATGTCTGCGTGTCTAAACAGTACAGACGTTTTATACTGGTGTGCAAAGTGTTTTTAAAGCTTTTCATATTATTTCATTAATATGCAGTAGTGATAAATAACAAACTATATTACTCATTACCACTGCTGACATCCGTGAACCTGGCTACAACATGACAACAACACCATTATCAAAAAGACAGCCAACATAATCTAAACCCATTTTCACTCGGTTTTTCTTACCATAACCAATGTGCTTCATAAACACAGTTACAGCAACCAAAGAAAAACTATTGTTAAAAAGTCAAGGGTCAAGAGCCCAACTAAAACACTTATCTCCACAATGGTGACTTCAAATTGTGTTATTTTCAATAAACATTAACATCTAAATCTCTGTTAATTCTTAATAAGAATTTTGTAGACGCATGACAAACAAAAAGTCAAACTGGTTAGTAATGTGTGAAGCTGGTGATGCTGTTTGTGGAGATGATTAATCATCTTCTGCTGAGATCTTGAGAGATTTAATGTCTTCTTTTATTTCAGTTGATTTCATCTAAGACTATGGCTGAAGTTAGTTGTAGTTCTTGTGTTTCTCTTTTCTTCAGTGATTCTGCTTGTTAACAGCAGCTGTTCATCACTAATGCTCAATCAGCACTTAATTAATCACATAATTATCTCATCAACTTTAACACTGCTTCAGTGTTACTTTAACACTCTTGTAGAGTGGGACCATATATGCTCCAAGCAGTGTTCATTTAACACTCGGGATTTTACTGTGTATGTGCGTTGATCAGGGTTTATTTATATAAAAGCCAAAATGTCTCTTCAGAAGACTTGGATAAAACCACTCATGTGGATTACTTTTACAATGTCTTTTTGAAGAGTCAAAATTTTGGTTGTCCCAGATTTTATTCAAAGTATATATATAAGAGACATCTGGGCTTTTACAGAAAAATAAACCCTGATCAACACATATATAGAGTTCTTCAAATATGGCAAACATGCTTGCTTCATGAGTGAGAACCAATGAGGTTTGTTCTCTTTGGGTGACTCTTGAGTTTGATTTGAGAGTGAATAAAGACAATTTTGTACCTTAATGTCTTTTTTTGGAGCTTGAAAGTTTTGAGTACCATTGCCTTTCATAAAATGGACAAAAACAGCCAAAACACTTGTCAAAGTTCTTCTTTCGTGTTCTGACGGTCAAAAGAAAGTCATATGAATTTGGAGCGACATGAGGATGAGAAAATAATGATTTGTAATTTGTTGCTACACTATTCCTTTAACAATGTATTTCTGATCGAAATCAGTAAGAATGGTAATTGTATGTTAGTTTTAGCTGGACTTCAGAAGACACATGACACAGACAGACCTTTGAGCTGAGCTTTAGCTCCGTCATATATTTATCCTTATCTAAGCAAACACATTACAGTTCATGAACCGCACTGATGATTACTCATGGTTGTTTAATATACCTTGACAGTGATGTATAGCAGCTTACAGTCGGTTTATTTTGGTAGAAGGTTTTTATCTGTTGGATAAATGGTTTTTATGGTTCAATCTAAATCACTCATTAAGGGAAAAAGCTCTGTTCTCTCTTAAGTGGGCAGGACATGTTTTCAGCCCCTAAGACTAAGGATTTCACTTCAATTTTATCTTCTTGTTTTCTGTGTTTAAAGAAAAAACATCTAAAACAAACTTAAGAGGATTTCTTTTTTATCTCTTCATGAAAGTTTGTGAAACAGACCTGTAAGTGTTATGGGTTTAGTTGGTTTAGTTTGAAGGTGTGGAGTGAGAGCTTTAGTCTGGGAAGCTCATCAAGAAGGATTTAACCTTGATGTGATCTCTTGAGATGATGTTACGCTCCAGCATTCCTTTGGAGACCACTACTGGAGACTCCGTGACACACAATGGGCTCTCTCTGTCCTTAAAGTCCTAATTAAAACCTCACAAAAGACTTGTGGGACCTCAGAGGAGGCGTGACTCACGTTTGCTGTGGATAAATATTGGTTACCAGTGCGAGTGTCTGGAGGATTACTGCGGCGTTCGCCTGCATGATGATCACTCTTATATATGTTTGCCTTTGCCATCATTTCAGAGCAGCATTCAGATGGCATTTTACATGAAGTTACAAAGAAGTCTTTGTGTTTGTGGTGTCTGCCGTCCCCTCATTCCCAAAGACAGTGTGACATAAGAGAAGTCTAAACACAGACACTCTGGACTGTCATTCATTAGCTATGGTTAAATCCTCATCACCACTTTTCCAAAACAAGGTTTGATTAGATGTTGACGTATGCTTGAGGCTGTGGTTATGGTGTGTTTACTTCCTCATACATGATTCATTCTTGCCCATGTCGCCCTACGCTGGAAGGAATTCTGACCTCAGGCTTTAAATGCCACTGTAGGCCTATGGCAAATATATATCATAGTCATCTAACGGTAATAAATGACAGGAGACTGGTGCTCTTGTATTAAACAGTTGAAACTTTTGTAGAAATATGCCGAAGAGATGACTCATCAGACAGTGATTTCAAAATTGTAACTTTAACTTTAACTCAATGTAGTTAATCAATTAGAATTTAAAAGAGATGGGTAAAATTTGTCATGTTTATTCTGTGGAGTTTTATGTTCTAAAACTCTTAATTTGAAGTTTATTTTTGATTCCATTGTATCTGTCTTTACTTTTCCTCTGTGTCTTTCCTTGTTTTAACTGTTTTTTTTTATTATGCACACCTGTGTCTGTTTTAGTTCTTGTCATTAAGTAAATGTATAGCCCTCGGTTTCAGTTGTCTTTAACTCAACTGTTAAAAAACCTGTTGGTTTTTGCAGTTCTTTGGGATTACCTTCTTCAAATGGTGGGACAAACAAAGTTTTTCAAGACTTCAGTTAATAAATGATTTAAACCAGACGCTTTGCAAAATGATTCGCTTTTGCAGCACTCAAAACACTGGTGATGCCTCCTTTTGCAAACCAATTGCAAATACTTTACAGAATTTGTATTCTATTAAATGCAATCAACAAATCATCTAGTACAATTAAATACAAATAGTCTACATAATATTTGTTATTTTATTAAACTGTAGGGATTGTTTTGATTGTTTTAAGGAGAGCTTGGTTAATCAGGCCAATAAGAGACTATTATCTACAACTCTTCCTTTTTATTCTACAAATGTGTCATTAAAATGTCACAAAACTGATCTGAGGTCAGGTAAAAAAAAAAAACATGTAAACAGTGGTTGATGGATTCATAGACATTGTACACTAGCTGCGAACCACTAACATTTTGAACCAGTTATGATGTAACAAAGCCTTATTTACTGAATCATGTGACTTCACTCCAACATCACTCCATATAACTGGTTCAAAATGATTTGCAACGGTTTCAAAGCTTCATAGAACAGTGCTTCAAAAACTTCTGAGATTGTCTTCTTGTTTTTGTTTAATAAATGTTTACACTGTGATTAGATCCATGCCTGCACTATGAGACATAATCGTGCCTTCAGAAATCCTATTTGCTGTATTCCTGCTCAATGTCAAACTGACCACAATCTTCCAAACAATCCTTAAAATACATCTTATACATTCCCATCTGTCAAAGCTTTCTCTAGTGTGTGAGCAACCTTAAAAGATGAACCCTCTATTTCATACTCAGTAATCTGAAACTTTGTGATGTCATTGTAATCATTTGTATGTGTTTCTTGGTCTCTTTCAGAATGACCGTGTGTTGGACTGGTGTGAGGACCACAGGAGATGTTCACAGGTAAAATGTGTTTTCAGATTAATGAGCTTGACATTATTCATTGAGCTCACAGCTTCTCACATTGCCTCAGCACTGCTAAATAAAACTCTTTTCAAATGTAATTTCCTTTCATTACAAGGAAATGGCCAAAGGTTAATGCCTTTATACAAACCACATACCCTGTACCTACACTAAACCTCACTCGTGTCTAATGGCTTCTGGAAACCCAACATAAACAGCATTGAGAGCCACTGTTGTACCCAGGGCAATTTTTTTGCCTTCCTTCCACCGGATTATGGTAATTTTAGATTGTAGTACTTTATAGGAGAAATAGAGATAGCACTTTAATATTTTGGTGTTCCCTACACTTCTATTTTCCAAACATAAAATCAGAATTGATGATATTCAATATGTTATTGAGCATGAGTCACCTGTGCATATTATTCCATATAGCGATCACTTTTTACTATCCAGTAAGTTCCTGGTGGATAAAATCACATCAGTTGTGAACATGTTTCATGTTGACTTTAAGACCAAGTTTGTTTTTCCTAACTGGTTTGCCCCATGGGAAATAAATACGGATAGGTTAGGGGTACTGCAATAAGCATTTACAGCACACCTCTCCTTCCACTAGAGTTCATTTGCAAGGATGCATTTATCACAAGAGCTCCCTGGATTCAGCATACTTTAGGGAAATTTTCAGCATTGACTCATGGAAAAACGTGTCTCTACCAACGTTTTTGCAAAACTTCAAAGACGTACCTATACATACAACTCCCAGTAGTAAAATGAACACTAGTGGCAGTAAAACACCTACAATTTTTCTTCCTTTTTTACACAAATTATAATTACATTAGCCAGATTATTGATTAATTTCTTATTTTTGCGCAGTCCATTGCAAAACACTATGTTATGAGCTCCAAACAATTTGACCACACTGCATTATTTGTAAACAATACATTTTGAAGTTTGCATCACATAACCAGCTCCATATGTATGGCTTTTCTGACGAAGTAAACTTGCTCAATAGCGCACCTGGTACAGCATTGTATTTGCTTGGGCATGAGTCCAGTGAAACATGAGCCACGATAAAAGTGCTCAAAACTTGTAGAAGCGCAGTTGCTTCAGCAAATGCATTATGTCACATTTGCTTTTGTTAAGACTATCAGTTAAGTTTAAGGTAGGGTTTAGTGAATGTCATCTATTTTGAATAAAATTAAACTTTAGCTTTAGTGCCACTCACTGGACATTCCTTCTTGAAAGTGTTGCGAAATGTGCAAGAAGTGACATAATAGGTGCGTTTTTCCAGTGAGTGTGGGTTTGAAATATAAGCAATGTTAATATTAACTCAGACATAGCACAATACAGTAGCATTTTTAAACTTTTAAAATGAATTTGTGTTGCAAGGTCTTTCAAATGGTCCCAGTTGTGGTATACTATAGCTCCTAAACACAGTGTTAAATCAGAGGAACTGAGACTGAAGCAGACCATGAAGAATACTGACTGATTTTTTTTTTTCAGTAATAATGATATGCAACCGTAATTGCCCTTCGATAAGCTAGTAAACATGGTTAGCTCATTAATGGTAATTGCCTAAGCCCAGACATCTCTGGCTGCCGTCCGCCAATCACCAACCACCGCTCACCCTGAGGGCCAGAGCTTTAAAATCCCTGAATGAAAAAGAGCAAAAACATTCCTTGTGAAAGCCGTATTTCTCACACCAAGCGTTTAAGCCGTTCTAATTGCTTTCAGATGGAAGTAATCCACCGTCAGCCCTTCCAATAACAGGTAAAGTAAATGTTGTGTTTTTTATGAAAATAAGCTGTGTTCACATCCTCCTGGGCTGAGCTGCGTCTCTAAAAGTGCACTTGAAATTAGCTCCTGTTTATTCGTTTAAAGCCCAGGCCAGGAAGACGCTGTTTTTTTCTTTTTCTTGTAATTTCTTGTTTGCTTGTGAAGGACTTTCTACATCTCAAATTCTTTGTTTGTATATTTTGAGTGCATGATCACCACAAATCCCCTCCTATCCCTTTCAAAAAATATGT